AACACCAAGTCAAGGGTTAAGATCCCCTTACCGGTCATCTTTAAAAAAAAAAAAATAAAAAAAAAAAAAAAAAGAGATGTATGAGGGCTGGTCAGTTAACTCACTTGGGAGAGCATGAGCATGGTGCTGATAACACCAAGGTCAAGGGTCCCCATACAGGCCAATCCCTCCTGACTGTCCCCCCCCAAAAAGATGTATAAAAGTTGGGTTTTGTTTGTGAGGCAAGCAAATAAGCATGTCAGAAAGAAAAGAAATATCCATCTGTGAACATTAATTACAATACAACTTTTTATAAGGGCATGACAAATGGAAAAGCAACTTAGAGTAAAAGGAACTACCTATAAATCATGGGAGTCCTACAACATTCTCGTTGGTGGCAGCTCAATCTAGATTGAGATGGAAATACCTTTGGTGGAGAAGCCCTGTGAAGCTCCTCCCACCCTCAGGCTATTCCAGATCACTTCTAGCTCACTTGATGGGAAAGGTAGGGTGAAGGAGATTGGCCAAGCACTTAGAAACAGAAGTACCCATGACAGATGCACAAACCTCCAGCGACAAAACCCGAGTCTCACATCCAGCAGCCCATAAGCTCTGCACTTTAAAAAGCCAATCTAAAGATGCAAAGTCCTGTCTCTAGGTACCCTTTTTGCCAGTCCCATCACTGTAAAGCTTCACAAATGATTCTTGGGTTCTGACCCTGACTTACTACACCAGAATTTCTAGTGGTGAAGCCCAAGAAAGTATTCTTTTAAAAATCTCCCCTGGGAGGCTGGCCCGTGGCTCACTCGGTAGAGTGTGGTGCTGATAACACCAAGGCCACGGGTTCGGATCCCATATAGGGATGGCCGGTTTGCTCTGGCTGAGCGTGGTGCTGACAACACCAAGCCAAGGGTTAAGATCCCCTTACCGGACATCTTTAAAAAAAAAAAAAAAAAAAATCTCCTCTGGGGGAACAGTAGTCTTTCCAAAAAACAGTGCTGGGACAAGTGGATATCCACATGCAAAAAATGAAGATGAACCCCCACCTCCTATTACATAGAAAAGTTAACACAAAATGGATCAAAGTCCTAAACATAAGAGATAAAACTATAAAACTATGGGAAAAAAAACAGTAAATCTTTGTGACTTTGGATTAGGCAATGGCTTCTCAGATATGGCACCAAAAATACAGCCAACCAAAGGAAAAAAATGCATAAATTTGACTTCATCAAAATTTAACACTTTTGTGCTTTAAAAGATAACCTGTAGAACTGCAGAAAATATCTGCAAGTCATATATCTGGTAAAGGACTAGTATCTAGAATATATAAAGGAATCTTGCAACTCAAGAATAAAAAGACAAGCCAATTAAAACAGGCATGGGCTCTGAATAGACATTTCTCCCAAGTAGACAGACTAATGGCTAATACGTACATAAAAAGATGCTGAACACCATTAATCTTATTAGGAATGCATATCAAAACCACAATGAGATACCACTACACACCCACTAGAATGGCTACAATAAAAAAAGACAGACAATAGCAAGTGCTGTAAAGGATGCCGGGTAATCAGAACTCTCATACATTGCTGGTAAGAACAAAATGGTACAGCTGCTGTAAAAAAACAGTTTAGCAGTTCCTCGAAAAGTTAAACATATGGTTGCCATATGACCCAGCAATTCCACTCCTAGCTATACATGAGAATCGAAAACATATGTCAAGAAACCCCCAAAATTTGTACATAAGTGTTCATAACAGCACAATTCACAACAGCCAGAAAGTGAAACAACCGAAATGCCCATCTGTGGAAGAAGGATAAACAAAATGTGGTCTATCCATATGTAAAATGTTATTCAAGTCATAAAAAGGAAGTACTGATACATGCTACATCATGAATGTACCTCCAAAACATTATGCTAGGTGAAAGAAGCCAAATAGAAAAGGTCACATACTATATGATTCCAATTATATGAAATGTCCAGAATAAACAAATCCACAGAGATAAAAAGTAAATTAATTAGAGTTTTCCATGGGCTGGGGAGCGAAGAGTGGGTAATGACTGCTAATGGGCATGGGTTTTCTTTTTGGGGTGATGAAAACATTCCAGAATTAGATAGTGATAAGATGTGAGTTCACGGCCACCATCTCCTCCTGCCCCAATATGCTGTACCTGGCCTGAAGTCTTCTGATTCCTTTCTTTGTTGTTCCTTGTGGAAAGCCATTAGCAGTAACATCCAGTGGCTGCTCAGGAACTGCACTCCAGCTGATGGCTATGAAAAAAATGAGATTCTGGGGTTAAAACTGTTGTTTCCTGTAAATGCCAGAGGCATTTTATTAAAAGTATTTCTCTGACACTACAGGCCCAAGAGAGCTAGATATGACGTCAGAGACAATGACTACCACTTTGATGCTTGGCCTTCAGGGTACAATAGTATAAAGTAGTTCATAATTCATTATAATCATTATAATGGCTAATAATCATTGCATTTATTATATGCTGGACACAGAATAAATGCATTAATTAGAATTTCCTCTTAATCCTCATAATAACCCTGAAAAATGATATCTTCTAATCTGAAGATAAAGAAACAGAGGCCAAGAGAGGATTAGTAATTTGCCCAGGGTCACAGAGAACGTAAACTTGACTCAGTGTGGGTGTCTCCAAAGCTCATGTTACTGAGTGGTAAACTGTCTTCCCAGGCTGGGGGTTATTTAGACCCTCACAGGCCACTCTCAGTCAGGGGAGAAGTTACTCCAGGGCAAGTGTAACCTGGATCACTTACCTGCCCCACAAGGAACAAGTCGGTCTGGGCTGTTGGCCCTTTTTGCCTGCACTGCACAGCGGCTCTGTTCAAATAGCAAATCTGACTGCTGGATTTTCAGTTCTTGAACTCCAAAGCCTTTGGGTAAAGCTGAGACATTCTGACACCTAAATGTGAGGGAAAATGCATTCAGTTTAGGCACACTCCTACAGAAAAAGAGTATGCACATCATCACCCCACATCATCACCCCTGAGCCTTAGCGGGAGGCAAAGGTCTTAGAAGGTGTGTGGATTTATTTGCTCATGTGTTTATTGGGACAGGGACAAGAGAGTGTGCCAGAACAAAATCTAGATCTTAAGAACCTTATGGTTGGAGAAAGATCCCTCCCCATCACTCAGAAGAGATAACTAAAAATCAAGTCAGTGTCCTTCAGTGATGTCGATAATACCATACTGCATTCCTGATGTAGGCTTTGAAAAACTTGAAAACTTGAAGCAGAAAGTTTTTGTTGGCTCCTGATTCCCAGGGAATCCTTCAAACACACCAGAAACCAGAATTATCCTGTAATATAAAAGCTTGATTTTTTTCTCCTGTATCTTTCACACAAACTGGATGCCAACACATCATGCTGGTCTAGAACTGAGCAGATACCAACTTCAAGTCCCAGAAGAGGGAAAACACAGAAAATGTCCTGGGCCGAGTGCCTAGGGCTGCCCTTTTTTTTTTTTTTTAAAGAATATCTTTTATAGGCATATAGTTCACATACCATCAATGGTTCAAATCCAACCATTTAAAGTGTATAATTCAATAGTTTTTGGTACATTAATAAAATTGTGCAACCATGACTTTAATCTTTCTTTTTTTTTTTTGGTGGCTGGCTGGTACAAGGATCAAACCCTGAACCTTGGTGTTATCAACACCATGTTCTAACCAAATGAGCTAACTGGCCAGCCCCTGAGTTTATAACATTTTCTTCACTCCAAAAAGAAACCTTGCACTCATGAGCACTCTCTATCCCGTCAACCACTAATCTGTCTGTCTCTATGTATTTGCCTATTTTGGGTGTTTCACATAAATGAAATCATACAATATGTGGCTTCTTTCAATGTTTTCAAGGTTCATTCACATTGTAGCATGTATCAGCACTTCATTTTTTTTTTCTTATGTCTGAATAACATTCCATTGTATGGACAGACCACATTTTGTTTATCCATTCATCTGTTGAGGGACATTTGGGTGTTTCACGTTTTGGTTGTTATGAATAATGTACTGCTATGAACATTTGTGTACAAGCTTTTGTGCAGATGTATGTTTTCATTTCTCTTGGGTAAGTAGCTAAGAATGAAATTGCTGGGTCATATCCTGGGGCTACTTTTTGGAGTCTGCTTCAGGGTCTGTATGTTTGACACGAGGCTTCCCTGGCCATGGCTCTGCCCTGCCCTCATTTACTATAGCATTAATCGGGTCTGGCTGCCTCCTTCAGGGAGACCACACTTGTGTGGTCATCCTTTGTCTTTTTAAAAACTAAAACTAATGCTTGAGGGGTTTTTAATAAAATTATAATAGCAATATACTTGTGTGCATGCTATAGAAAAATTAGAAAATATAGCAGTAACAAAGAAGGGAAAAAGCCACACATAATACCACAACTCAGAGATAATCAATAATACCTTGGTGTACATCCTCCCACAATTTTTTCTATGTGCATATAAACTATAAGACCAAAATGAGCTGATTTTATCTTCTATATCGTTCTTTAAACATTATGAACATTTCCCCACATTAAACATTCATCAATATTATTTTTAACAACAACAAAAAAAATCACTTAATTTCCCACTGCTGGGTATTTCAGGTGTTTCCTTTTTCTTTTTAAAAATTACTACATACAAGCTAAATGTCTGAATACTTTCTTATTTTCTTAGGACAAACTTCTAGAACTGTTGAATCAAAAGTAAAGAGATTTTTTTAGGCTCTTTGGATGTACTCTCTGACTGCCTCTCAGAACGACTGTTCCAAGTGAGCCCGACCCCACTGCCCTCTCACCTCCCCATCAGTGCTCTGTGCATGGCTTCTTGGTTGTATGGGCACTTCCCAATGACCACAGCTGACAGGTAGATGGGCTCTTCCAGGAAGTGCATCAACAGTGCTCCTTGGCATCCGAGGACGTTCCATCGGGCCACCTTGTCACTGCAGGACATGGAGCAAGTCTTGTCTCCCCGGCCTGGCTTTACTCGGAGCAGCCCTACCTGGTGATATGCAGCACCAGGCTTCCTCAAGTCTCCAGTTTCTCCAGGCACACACTTGGCTCCAGTTCTATAAATGTCCACCACTTTGGCACCATTGGAGGCCATTCTGGTGACAGTGGCCAGTCCTTCTACAGCGAGATTAGAGCTGCTGACACCTGGTGGGACTGGGCCACCTCCCCACTTGTCAAAACTCTGATAGTGAGCTGCACCGTTGGCGACCTCCCTTGCAGCAGTTCCAGGCTCAAGCGTCATCTTTTTGGTTACAGGACTGTCAAGGTCTTCACATTTCCTTTTATTTTCAGGAGCTTCCTGGTTACCAATGGCTTCTCCTGATGGGTTGTTGGCCCAATCTCTGCTGGCAGGAGGGCAAGGTTGATCTTCAAACTCAAGCATTGGAATGATGGAGGCATCCCCACCTGTAGAAGAAGGAACCCATTAAACCAGTGATTCTCAAAGTGAGGCCCCTGGACCAGCCACATCAGCATCTCTTAGGAACTCGTTAGAAATGCAAATTCTTGGAGGGCCGGCCTGTGGCTCACTTGGGAGAGCGTGGTGCTGACAACACCAAGTCAAGGGTTAAGATCCCCTTACCAGTCATGTTTAAAAAAAAAAAAAATGCAAATTCTTGGGACCCACAGTAGACCAGCTGAATCAGAAACTCTGGAGGTGGGGCCAAGTGATCTGTGTTTCAACAAGATCTCCAGGTGATTTTGATGCAAACTCAAGTTTGAGAACCACTGCTTTAATCAAAGATCAATCTATTCTCCCATCTGACCTGAGATAAATTAAGAGCACATGCCCAAATTTCCCTAATAAGAATCCTGTGTTGAAGACTCTATCCTAGACCCAGTGCGTCAAAATTCCTGGAGAGGGCTGGCCTGCGGCTCACTCGGGAGAGTGTGGTGCTGATAACACCAAGGCCCCGGGTTCGGATCATTATTCCATAAGATGTCTTAGAAAACAAAAGTGGGTACTCTATTTCGTGGTTAAATAAATTTGGCAAACATTGCTCAAAAGTTCCCATTTTGGAAATTTTATGATGTGCATCTCCACAGTAAAGACTGCAATAAATCATACAACCTGGTCTAAATCACTGTTTCCAAAACTTGCAGTGTTTCTCCATGCTTGTTTAGAGACTTCTGATCTCTGTGCTTATAGGGAACCAAAGAAAACCAGAGGTCAGTAAAAAGCACAGCTCTCCCGTGAGAAGGGAACTATTTCTTCAGACTCTAACCTAATGTGTGTTGCTTTACTAAAGTGTGCAAATAATACATCTGTGGTCTTTTTTTTTTTTTTTTTTTTTAAAGATGACTGGTAAGGGGATCTTAACCCTTGACTTGGTGTTGTCAGCACCATGCTCTCCTAAGCGAGCTAACTGGCCATCCCTATATAGGGATCCGAACCCGGGGCCTTGGTGTTATCAGCACCACACTCTCCCAAGAGAGCCAACCCTCATCTGTGGTCTTTATAACCTAAGACTGGGAAAGGAAAGAGATGGAGAAGTGGGAATGTTGCCAGAGAAGGTGGCTGGCTGCCTTCCAGAAACCTCACAAGGTGACTGACAGTGACTTTGGAGAATTCACTGGGGTCCACCTCCCATTCTGCAAGCTCGGAGATTTGATCTTAACAGAAGGCCTAAACACTAGAGGCTGACTCATGCTAACAAAACAAAAATAAGAGCTGAAGTAGCTAACTCAGGCAATAAATTAATTAGTAATGAGAAGTAAATGCCAAGGGGAGTCAGAGAGTCACATTCTCTAGGTAGTGCTCTTTCTTTCTGCAGGCAAAACACGGCAGACATCACATTTTATTTATTATTTTTTTATTGAATCAAAATTGATTACACGTATTTTTGGCATTCGATGTTGACATATGTTGATCAAATCAATACTACTAGTATGTATATTGTTACAAATTGTACTTATTCTTTATGCCCTTGTCCAATCTCTCCCTATTGCCCTCTCCCACCCGGCCCCACCACTGATAACCCTAGATTTCTTCTCTCCCTTTGAAAGAGTAATGGTTACTCTGTTGATCTGTTGCCTAGATGATCTGTTCAATGCTGAAAGGTGTGTTCAGGTCCCCCAATATTATCATAGAGCAGATGCTTCTTCTATCACTTTAGAATGTGCTTTCTGGAAAGACACCCTCTTCTTTTCTTTGGTCTCTGCTAGTGATTTTCCTGTCAATGCACTCCAGTGGCTGGCAGATTATCTGTGTGGTGGTTGTGACATCTAGCCACTTTTGTGGCAGCCGTGGTTACTATGGTGGGCCACCCACATGGAGGTGGTGTTTTTGGCATGCTCCTTGGCACTGGCAGTGTGCCTGGTTGTGGGCGGAGGGGGGGCCCAGTCCCCACTCCACACCTCAGGTCTACTGGTGGGCCCCGAGGTACTGGTGATGCGCCTGGGCTGGAACTAATTTTTTGTCCTTTGCTTACTTCTAAAATGAGGGAACTTCCTTGAGCTGTGTTGTTGAGCTAAATTGCTGCTTTGCTGCTGTTTCCCTAGGGAAGACTTTTTGTGCAGCTCAGGGTTTAATGGTTGACCTTATAGGTACTTCTGGCTCTCCAGAGACCCGGTGCACCTGGGTTGGGTAGAAACTCTGATCTAGGCCTGAATCTTTTCATCAAACTGCATCCCATGCAATTCTGCATTCCCGATCAGTCTCCTCTGAGTGGCCCTGTGCTGACTGGGGGCGGATCGGCTGTCCTTGCTGTATCCCAGTGTTCTCCTGGTGGGCCCATCTCCCCCGCCACCCATGCTCCAAACACTTCCCATGGGATGGGCCCTGTGCTGGTCCCTTGTGATGACTCACTGGACTCTGAATGGCTCCCCTTTTTCAGCTGTTCTGGCTCCTCGCTCTTGCGTGGGTACACGGGAACCCTATTAGTGGTCCTGCTGTCCTGGGGGCCACCAAGGCCCTCTTCTCTCCTGCCGCCTCCAAGCAACTCCATCTGAAGGGCACATCTGCAGCTTCTGCCGGCTCCTGCTCCATGAGCTCAGCAATTCCAGCCTTAAAGTGGCTGTGGCCCAAAATGCTCCAAGCAGTTTTTTCTTTCATCGTGGCTTCTCCCCCTTCATGAACTCTGTAGGTCTCTCCTCCTCTTCTGAGCTCCAGCGGCCCCAGCTTGGCTGTTGTTACATTTTTACAGTTGTAAATTTGTTGATTTGTGGGAAAGAGTGACGCTGGGGACCATCAATTCTGCCATCTTGACCGGAACCCCGACATCACATTTTAAAAGATTACCCAAGGGCCGAGGGAGTTAGATCCGTGGTTCCAGATTTTTATTTCACAGACCAGCAAAATTCCAAAAGATTTGAAGATCAACAGAAGGTTGCCTACTTTTTATTCCATCAAATAAGATTTTTAAAAATCCCAATTACCATCAATTAAAAAAACCTCATAACCTTTACTTGTTTATTTTTGGCAGCTGACCAGTACAGAGACCCAAACCTCATAACTTTTAAATTGAAAGAAATTGCAGGCTGGCCTGTGGCTCACTCGGGAGAGTGCAGTGCTGATAACAGGGCCATGGGTTTGGATCCTATATAGGGATGGCCGGTTCGCTCACTGGCTGAGCGTGGTGCTGACAACACCAAGCCAAGGGTTAACATCCCCTTACTGGTCATCTTTAAAAAATAAATAAATAAATAAAATGAAAGAAATTAGTTTTGAAAAACTCACTATATAGTCTTGACTTTTCTCATTTTTCCATGGACTTTCACAGATTAGCACCATCTGTAGACCACTAACTATGTAGTTTGATTAGGTTCTCATGCTTTTTGTGATCCCCAATGCAACTGTCTCTGCAATAAGGCTATGCCTGCCACTGGGGTCATCCAGGCCCTGGCTACTTAAAATATGGTCCACAGACCAGCACCATGGCATCCCCTGGGAGTTGGTTAGAAATGCAGAACCTCAGGACCCACTCCGGACATACTGAATCTAAATCTACATTTTAATAAGATCCCCGGGAGATTCATGTGCATATGAGTTTGAGAAGCACTGATCATGAAACATCCTTTGATCCTTGGACCAGGGAACCCACTGCTAAGAATAAAGCATACTCCTTCTTAAGATATAACAATATTTTCAATTCTAATTACAGTCAAATCTTGACAACTATTCTGCTTTATAGCAATTACCTTCCTCTGCTGTGTTACTTTTAATGTTCAAGACTCAGAGGACAATCTTATAGGCTTATTTCAAAGTTTTTAGGGTGAGGAAATTTTATTGCTATCCTTTAGTTGTCTACAAAGGTAGGAATTATTTTCAATTTTCAAGAAAGAAAAATAGGGGATAGAAATGACCCCCTAGGCTAGGTCTGTTCTTCCTAACTTATGCAACCACAGCACCCAAACATTTCCTTATAACTCATCAAAATTTACTCTAGCCATGATTGTCTACATTCCCTAAAAGACTATGAGGGTAAGCAATGTGCTAATCTTATACACTGCTGTGTACAGATGGTACCTCACTTAGGATGGTTCGACTTAGGATTTTTCGACTTTACGATGGTGTGAAAGCAATACACGTTCAATAGAAACTGTACTTCAGTACAGTATTCAAAAAATTACACTAGATAGTCAACACTGAGTATTATCAGATAGGTTTTGTGTTAGACAATTTTGTCCAACTGTAGGCTAATGTAAGTGTTCCGAACATGTTTGAGGTAGACTAGGCTAAGCTATGTTTGGTGGGTGTCAAGCTACACAACTACGCCAGTTGTCAAGTAAGGCAAATCATAACTAAAGTTAAAATGTTTCATTATTTTAGTTATACTAAGTTTCCATTTGTATTGTCAGGGTTAGGGCTCAAACTCTTCAAACCCATTGTATACACTAGGTTACCAGACCCCTCACACACAGGTCCACGCTAGGTAATTGGGAAAGATCCTGGGAGCTGTTGGCAGACGACACGAGCTCAGTCCTCAGCAACGGTGGGCAGGCAGGCATGGCTGCGGCAGTAGCGTCCTCCCCATGTCCCCCCCCGGCCCCCAGGGGCATCCCAGCGATGGGGGGTGCCGTGGATCAGAGCCACTCATCTCTTATACTTAAGTCCATAACACAGGACACCTGGGTGCATATGTGCAATTACATTAGACAATAACCAAGAAACACCTGGGCACACGTGCCTATTTACAACAAACGTTTGACAAGATTCTGAACATGAGGGCTCTGACCATTTTCATATATTTTCCCAACAGTGGGTTAGGTGTATTGAATGCATTTTTTTTTTTAAAAGATGACCGGTAAGGGGATCTTAACCCTTGACTTGGTGTTGTCAGCACCACGCTCACCCAGTGAGCAAACCGGCCATCCCTATATGGGATCCGAACCCGTGGCCTTGGTGTTATCAGCACCGCACTCTACCGAGTGAGCCATGGGCCGGCCCCTTGAATGCATTTTTGACTCACTATGGGAGCATAACCCACCATAAATTGAGCAGCATCTGTACCCTGTATATCATTGTGCCTGACAAGTAGTAGAAAATATTTGTTCAATGAATGAATGAATGAATGAAATGTGTTTCAGAATAAGTCACTATAGGAGGACTTTGTATTGCTAAGCCCTATTGTTGGCTTCACATCTTGTGGAGTTTCAGCCTTAAGCTTCTCAATCCTAATTCTCAGAACTGAATAACAGTATGAGTGAGACTTTGTACCCCCTACTTCTGCCCTCTGCCTTCGCCTTATAAGAGAAGTGATTAGGTACACTGGCCTGTCCATAAAAATACACTGTCACCAATAGCTACACTTCAACCAGAAGTGCTTTTTTTTTTTCCCTTTTTGTCTTTTTTACTGACTGGTAACAGGATTGCAACCCTCGGTGTTGCGCCCGCACCGCGCTCAGCCAGTGAGCGGGAACCGGTCTCCACATGGGATCCGAACCCTCGGCGGGAGCGCCACTGCACTCCCAAGCGGCGCACTCTCCAGTGCGCCACCAGGCCGGCCCCAGAAGTGCTTTTTTAAAGACACATTATCTATGGATAAGACAAATATAAGGAAATAGACAATGTAACATTAATCCAAAGGCTTGAATATACTTACAGGGTGTATGGCTGGAGAAAAACACAAAAAAAAGGTCTGGTCTGAGTTTCCACAGTCTTCTTTGAGTTCCTGGGACAAAGATACTATCTCCTTTCAGGGTGGCTGCCAATTGGAGCTGATGGAGCAGGTACCTAAGGATTGCAGAATGTTATTAGAATGAACAACCAATCTTTGTGGTAAAGAGAAAGACCCTGACTGGGCGATTACTAGGAAAGAGTTACCAGAGACTAATGAGACTGGTAGTGATTTGGAATTATGAGGATGAGCTAGACCAGTGGCTCTCAAAGTGTGGTCCCAGCATCAGCAGCATCAGCATCACCTGGGAATTTGTTAGAAATGCAATTTCTCAGGCTCCACCCGGAATCTGCTGAATTCAGAATCTCTTGGGGTGGCCCAGCTCTCCAGGTGATTTTGATGCATACTCAAGTTTGAGAACTACCCACACACAAAAAGGTGAGTGGGGAGGAAGTCTGGCCAGTTAGCACACTTGATTAGAGTGCAGTGTTATAACACCAAGGTCATGGGTTTGGATCCCCATACCAGCCAGCCACCAAAAACAAAAGTCTGAGAACCACTCGTCTAGACAACAGTGCTACTCAAACTGTACTTCACAGACTGATATATCTGTATTACTTGGGAGCTTATGAGAAATGCAAATTCTGGGGCTCCCACCCAGATATACTGAATTAGGCTCTCTGGGAATGTGGTTTTTACCTTTGGAAACTCCTTCTGGCTATGATCTCAGCATGGCTATCATTGAGGATATCTCCTATGGCAAAGACAGGACACTAGGTGAAGACATACGGCAACTGGAGAGGCCCTGGTTCCCAGAAGCAGAACACAGCACTTCCCCCACCACCCAAGATGGCCATGTAGCTTCTGGAAGGCTTTGCCTGAAAGTATCACAACGATTAATGGCAATGCAGTTATAGCAGGGTTTTTCAACTCAGCACTGCAGACACTTTGGGCCAGAAAATTCTTTGTTGTGGGAGTCTAGCTTTTGTTGTAGGTCTAGCAGCATTCCTGGCCTCTACTCACAAGATACAGTAGCGCCCCTCCCCCAGTTGTGACAACCAAAAATGTCTCCAGACATTGCCAAATGTCCCCTGGCGTGCAAAATCAATGGTTGAGAACCACTGATTTACAGAAAAATCTTTATCTGGAGAACAGGGGTCCAGATCTTTTGTACCCTGATCCAATTCTTGTGCTCATGGTGATACAGTTCCATCTAATTCAATCCATGGTGGTCCTGGAACAGCTTCCTCATATACAGGAAGAAGCAAGGCTAGAAGAATAGGGAAGCAAACTCAAAGAGGGACTTGTTAACTGGAGGCAGAAGGTAAAGATCCCAGATCTCTAGCAGATTTCCATATTCTTATTGGTGTCAAAAACTCCACTGAATTCAAGGTTGCTTTCTGGGGCTTCAGAAGCCACTCAGAGGGCTGGCCCGTGGCTCACTTGAGAAAGTGTGGTGCTGATAACACCAAAGCCATGGGTTCGGATCCCTATACAAGGATGGCCAGTTAGCTCACTTGGGAGAGCGTGGTGCTGACAACACCAAGTCAAGGGTTAAAATCCCTTTACTGGTCATCTTTAAAAAAAAAAAAGAAGCCACTCAGGCTGCATACTCTACCCCAATGCCTTCCAGACATAATGTGAAATAGCTGTGGTTTTGAGCATGAAAATACTGGTTTTCAGTTCACTCAAATCAAGTTTCTGGTGGCCTTTGTTTCTTTTTTTTTTTTTTTTT